GCTTTCCAAGGAGGATTGAAAGTTTTCCCAGAGGTTGAAAGGAGGGAATTCAGTGATAGGTGGGATTGGAGATAGGAGGAAAGTGAATCGGGACGATAATGGTAGCAGTCGATCGATGTTTTCAATGCCACCAGGTTTTATGCCAGGAAACAAGAGAATAAAGTAGATGCAGATAATGTGCATAGCTCAGCAAACTGGGGTGGTGATGGACTGATTGGTTTGTCTGCTGTAGGACTTGGAAGCAAACAGAAAAGCCTCGCTGAAATTTTTCAGGTTTAATGTTTAATCATAAATGCCCTTTGTTCTAATTTTTTTTTTTTTTGGTTTGGTCTTTGCCTTTTGATGCTGAACACTGGTATTCGGGTAATTGTTTCTTTAACATTCGTTCTTTATTTAATTTTCAGCAGTCAATGTGGTTGATCTTATAGTTTCATGAGTCAATTTTTTTAAGTCTGTGGTTAGCATTTTTGTTCGAGTTGTTTCAAGATTTTTATTTTCATGTATTTGCAAAATGATCATTTGTGTGACATACAAGTATTTGCTATTTTACTGATTCCTAATCCTAAGGTAGTTATATTGCTATGTGTAAAACTTAGTAAGCATATTTTTAATCATAATTTCTTCTTGTTCACGTGTAGGTAGCTTGTTTATAATGTATCGTAGACTACTTCAAAGCACTCCTCAAAATCATTCTGCTATGAAGTTTTAATTTTTTAATCTTCCTTAACTTGAACCCTAATTTCTTCTTGTTCATGCTCTAAAAACTTATGGAACTTTTCTTGGCTGCTGCAGTGAGTTAATGTTTATAACATATTTGCAGGCTGATTTGGGTCACTCTGCTCCTGTTACAACGATACCGTCTCGTCCTGGTAGTTGAAATGCTTTTGATGAGAACTTTGATAATTTAGGTTCTGCTGAATCTGATCTGGCTCATTTTCGGCATGAACTGGCTTCTGCAGATGCTTTAAGGTCAAGTGTGAGTGTTCAAAGTTCGTGTGCTATCCATAACGTTGCTCCACCTTCTTCATACACTTATGCTACTGCGGTAGGGGCTTCCTTGTCTAAGAGTACCACTCCTGATCCCCAACTTGTTGCTAGAGCTCCCAGTCCTTGTTTGACACCAATTGGTGGAGGCAGAGTTGGTAACTCATACTCCAAGCACGTTTGGTGGTGTTACATCTGGTGTCAACGAGTCTGCAGATCTGGCAGTTGCTTTGTCAGGCATGACCCTGTCATCAATGGTGCACCAGATGTAGATAATCAGTTGCCATCCCAGACTGAAAAAGATGCTGAAATTCACCAGAATTATTTTTTCGGTTTGCATGATGGTCAGAATTATATCAAACAGCAGACATACTTGAAGAAGGCTGAATCTGGGCATTTAGATGTGCCTTCAGGTAAGAGTAATAGGCAAGCTGAGTTCCAGAAATCTTCTGCATCCTCGAACAATTTTTACTTGAAAGGATCTCCTACTTCCACTCTCAATGGCGGAGGCAGCATACCTACTCAGTTTCTGCATGGTAGTGCAAATTCATCATTTCCAAACTATGGGTTAAGTGGTTATTCTTTGGATCCTGGATTGGCCTCTATGATGGCTAGCCAATTTGGAACTGCAATCTGCCAGGTGCATCAGCTATACCAGTCCCTGGAATGGACACCAGAGTGTTTGGGGGAGGCTTGGGTTCTGGACAGAACATTTCAAATGCTGCATCTGAGTCGCATAATCTTGGTAGAGTGGGAGGCCAAATAGCTGGAAATGCTCTGCCTGCACCTTATGTTGATCCTATGTATCTTCAATATTTGAGGACATCTGATTATGCTGCAGCACAGCTTGCACCTTTTAATGATCCCTCTATGGATAGAAACTTCCTTGGTGACTCCTACATGAACTTGCTTGAGCTGCAAAAGGCATATTTCGGGGCTTTGCTATCACCACAGAAATCTCAGTATGGTGTTCCATTGGGTGCTAAATCTGGTAGTTCCAATCTTCATGGTTTTTATGGAAATTCCACCTTTGGAGCTGGCATGTCATATCCTGGAAGCCCCTTAGCAAATACTAGTATTCCAAACTTTGGACTTGGTAGTCCCGTCAGACACAGTGACCTGAATATGTGATTTCCTTCTGGGACGAGGAATCTTGCTGGGAGTGTCGCAGGATATGCAGGATATAACCTGCCTGAGAGCTTTTCCTCCTCCCTACTTGAAGAGTTTAAGAGCAATAAAACAAAATGTTTTGAACTTTCTGAAATTTTGGGTCATGTTGTTGAGTTCAGGTATGTTCTTAATAAATTAGAGATAAGGTCAATCTAATCTAAACTTACTAAAAGTATTAAGAAATAAAAAATAACAAACTAAGTATATCCACAACTCACATTGCATATTGTTTCCCTGAGATTTTTATTCTTATGAGTAGTGTGGATCAGTATGGCAGCCGTTTTATTCAGCAAAAACTTGAAACAGCTACAAATGAAGAGATTAATATGGTTTATGAGGAAATCATGCCTCAAGCTCTTGCTTTGATGACTGATGTCTTTGGTAATTATGTCATTCAAAAGGTATCCACTTCTTAGTCCATTATACATCTGCTTAGTTGTATAATTTAATGCTTTATTACCTAGTAAATTTGCATCTACCTACAGTTTTTTTAACATGGACTTCCAGCTCAGAGAAGAGAACTTGCTTGCAAGCTTTTAGGTAATGTTTTAACACTCAGTCTTCAAATGTATGGTTGTCGAGTGATTCAAAAGGTATATGGTTGCTATTCTTCAGCACTTTATTTCCTAATCTTTGAGTTGCATGTTGAACTTCTGCTGTTGATTCTTTTTATTGATCAAGCTTCATCATAATTGTTTTGCTGTTTCTTTCTAAAAAAGATCAGCCCAATTTTGTAATTGATTAAATGAAAAAGTCCACGTTGGTTAAAAGCTATGCTAAAAGTTTTATATGTTCTTTTTTCTAATGTTTATTTTTGTAAATATGTGCTAACTATGCTTCAATCACGGTAATTGTGCTTAACTTTGTTATCACCTTATCCTTGTTTTTATATAGATTTCCTAAAAGCACTCATGCTATTACTCGAAGAATACCACCCAACATTCTGACAATTGTCTATGCTTTGTGTATCATTCAAGGCCATAGAGGTTGTCGATCTGGATCAGAAGATTAGCATGGTTAATGAGCTTGATGGTAGTGTTATGCGGTGTGTACGAGATCAAAATGGGAACCATGTGGTCCAGAAATGCATTGAATGTGTTCCGGAGGAAAACATTCAATTTATAGTTACTGCATTTTTTGATCAAGTTGTGACACTTTCCACTCATCCATATGGGTGCCGAGTTATACAGGTTCAGTACTTGTGTGTATGTGTGTGTATATATATATATATTATATATAGAGAGAGACCACTAGAACCGTTCCATGTAAATGAGCAATGTGTGTTCTGTATTATTATTTCTACTAGTGCAGAGAATATTGGAGCACTGCAAGGACCCCAAAACACAAAGTAAGGTTATGGATGTGATTTTAGGATCGGTCAGTCCGTTGACGCAAGACCAGTATGGCAATTACGTTGTCCAGGTTCGTCATTCTTTTTTGGATCTGTTCGTACTGAAGGAATCTACTGAATCTGCTCTGGAGTCTTCACTCTTTTGCATTCATGTCTATTAAAAATACTGTCCACAATTGTTGTTGTATTTGCTTATTTTTCTACAGCGTATCCTTGAAATTTGTTGATTTACATTACTAAACATTTCTATTGTATTCGTGGTACTAAGTGATGCATTAAATGACATCTACAGCATGTACTGGAGCATGGAAAACCTCATGAGCGCTCAATCATAATTAAGGAGCTAGCTGGAAAGATTGTCCAGATGAGTCAGCAGAAGTTTGCATCTAATGTTGTCGAGAAGTGCTTAACTTTTGGTAGTCCTGCTGATCGTCAGCTATTGGTGAATGAAATGCTTGGTTCTACTGATGAGAATGAGCCTCTTCAGGTTTGTATTTTCTGCAGATATATTTTGCAAACAGAAACACTATCCGGATTTAAGTCTTCTCGTTTTTGAAAAGAAAAATGCCGAAAATAACTTCACCTTTCTTCGTATCAATGGAGAAAAGTCATGAATCACGATGCCTTTATTTTGAATTTGGTTTGGCTGATTATGGCAATCTTTTTTGTTGGAGAGAAAGTGTGCATACACTCATATCATACTTTAGTTGCATTTTGCTTGTGGGATCAACCATCTACACGTATGAATGTTAATAAAGTTTAAGAAAACTCTTAAAATTTTACATATCACGTGCTATATATATATATATATATATTGATTGCAGTGTGCTCAGGATTAAGCTTTTGTTAATTGTCTCTGGAGATAGTTCCGGTAGAATTTCATGGCATCCATCTCATCTTTACTGAACTATTTGTCCACCCAGGCAATGATGAAAGATCAGTTTGCGAACTACGTTGTACAGAAAGTGCTAGAGACTTGTGATGACCAGCAACGGGAGCTGATCCTTTCTCGAATTAAGGTCCATTTAATCGCATTGAAGAAGTACACTTATGGGAAGCATATTGCTGCGCGTGTAGAGAAACTGATTGATGTTGGAGGTACGGATTCTTCCTTGTCTTTCGTGGTTATCAGTTTGTATTTACGAGTCTGTTCATGTATTGCGTAAATGAGTTTCTTACTATAGCAGCAGCTTCGATACAAAAGTTATCGACTCTTTCTTCCAAACTTGACTTACGTATGTCGAAGTCCTTTTAACACTGATTTTGCATTATTTTCAGAAAGGAGAATTGCTGCACAGTCTCTGCACCCGTCTTAAGTCGGTATAGGGACATGTACAGCTAACAGGATCTGTATGAAGCTTTCTCCTCTTGCTTTCATCTTCCCCGTGATATCTAATGGCCATGGTTCTTCTACCTATCTTCTTATACAGGTAAGAACTGTACAAAAATAATGTTGTTGCTTACCGTATATCAAAAAAAGAAAAGAAAAAATAACACTGTACATTGTGTAGCTCTTAAGGTTTATTATACATAGAATTCGAGCAAAAGCTGAGAGTTTCAGCTAGTGAAATACCACAGATGAATATATATGAATATAATGCGACTGTAGGAACAAGTATTGGCATGTGAAGAGCTCTTTATGTGTAAAAAAGGTCTACAAAAGCATCTTGGTTAGTAAAAGTTCCTCCTAACATATTGCACCATCTTTTTATTTCGGGCTCAAGGCATCCACACATTTGTTCTGGAAAGCGCAAAAATGCCAGAGTTTCACATCCAATGAGGGAGTTCATCAGGCATAGTGTAGTTGAAGCAGCTAATTATTTTGATTTGGTGTTATTAACAGTACTGGCAGCTACGAGAGGATCCGATTCAATCATTTCGAGGTTCATGTCAAGGTGATTAGCCAAAGATAAACCGGTCTATAGGGAAGTGGCATGCGCCTGATTGTTTAGATGTGGTTAGATTTATCAGCGACATTAACGTTGCAACAAGTTTATTAATGTTAGTCTACGAAATCTTCATGTTAGGACAACGAAATCTTTTATTTAACTAGGAAGTAAAGTAATCGTTTTTCAGTTACTCCTCAGGAAAGAAATAAAGTTACAAATGTAATGGTTAAGTTTATGAATCAACATTTTAATATTAATATTTGATTAAAAGGGATGTCCATTAGGGATGAGCATCCAATCAAGTTAAAAATTTAATTTCTTTGAGTTGACGAGTTATAGTTTACAATTCGAATTTAATTTAAAATATTTTTTATTTTAATAAAATTTAAGAAATTTGAGTTGAATTATTTGATTTGAGTTATTTGAGTTTCTATGGTAGTTTTAATATAATTATTTGTTTGATTTAAGTTTCCAAACCTGGTTGATTGTTATACATTCTATGACCACAGTCGATTCTTCAGAGTACTTGTTCAGTTCACCACCTTCTTCTACTACGGTGTAGCCGGCCTTTAGAAAAACCAAAAAGAAACAAGGGCAAAAACGTCCTAAGAACTTCCAGTCTACACATTCCCCAAAGTACCCTTAAAAGTGCACCACTTTGCTTACTTGGCCACTTCTGTTCCATACCAACCATGTCCATTTCCGAAATAAAATCCCCCGCCACCGCCGTCTAGCGCGACCAACTTCATTTTTGCTACCCAAAATCACTTACGTGCCCGCTAGATCAATCTGGAAGTCAGATAGTGCACCTTTCTTTCCCTATCTTTTTCTCGCTTCCTGCCAAACAGTCACCGATTTTCTCACAAATATCTGAGTATCTCTATATTCTTCACACTTCTTTCCGATCCAATTAATAATTGAAAAATCATTCTAAAAGATTTAAGAAATCTATAATTTGAAGGTCAAAAGCTGAAAATTAATATGGGACAAGAAGCGAAGATTATTGAATTTGAAGCTAACGGCCGAAACGACGAAGCCACTGCAACCGCCACCGGCGCCATCGTTGACGACGACGACGACGATGTTAACGATGAAGTTCTTGAATGGGAGTTGGGATTACCTAACTGCGATGATTTAACTACGTTATCTGATTCCTTAATACCACCGGAACTCGCCTCCGCTTTCAGCATCTCACCGGAGCCTTGTCGTACTGCTATTGACGTCAACCGCGCTTCTCAGGATACCCTCTCCTCCCTCCGCTCCACCGGAGCCCACTCTTCCACCACTAATAGCAATAATAACAATTTCCGTTCATTTAATGACCCGATGGTAGTTGAACAGGAAAGGGCTGCTGCTCGGGTTCGGGTTCTGTATCCGAAACTAAGAAAATAAGGAAGATGGCTAGTACCGAGGAGGCGAATTCTGCAGTTAGGACGACGGAGAATTCGGAGGATCCATCAGGGAAAGCACCGAAACGATCCCGCTTAGTGTGGACACCGCAACTGCATAGGAGATTCGTGGATGTGGTGGCCCTTTTAGGGGTAAAAAAACGCGGTTCCCAAAACAATCATGCAGTTAATGAACGTCGAAGGCTTGACCCGTGAGAACGTCGCCAGTCATTTGCAAAAGTACCGGGTTTACTTGAAAAGAATGCAAGGACTAAGCAACGGAGGCCCAACGGCTTCAGATCAGCTGTTTGCATCAACGCCGATTCCGCAGAGTATCCATGAGAATGGAACCGGCGTCAAAGGAGGAGGAAGTGGTAGTGTGAATAGCAATGGACGCATTGGAATGGCTATACCGATGCCTTATGGGGCACCTATGATTCCGGTGCCGATGTACGGGCCTGTTAATCAAGGAGGGAATCATCATCAGAATGGATATGAAGCGAACTCGTATGGGATGCTGCAGCAGAGAGATTGGTCTGGTGGGAACAAATATGGGTCAGTTGGGTCGTATCCCCATCATCTCTAGTTCAATTTTTGTTCGAAGGTCTGTTTTTTTCCCCTCTACCATTGTCCTATAATATGAATGATCGGCTTTCTTTATTGATTTTAGTTGACTGTTAGTTATATATATAATTTGTTTTTGGTTGAAAAGTCTGAATTTTTTGTAGCCAAAAGGATATTTCCTTTTGGTGGGAATTGAACTGTACCATGCTAATTTACTTTAGCTTTAATCAGAATCGATCCTTACACTGAATCAAATAATTAACTCAAAAAAAGTTTTCGGGGCTCTTCCTGAGAAATCATACCAAGTTATGAGTTGTGTGGGGCTGGTGGGCATGGATCGCTATCATTGCTTTGGGAAAGGTAGCTTTTCTTTGCCATAGGGGTTCTGGTTCACCGGTTATACAACGTGGTGCTAGCCAAGGATAACAAAAGGATCACATGTTGATAAGCTGCTTTTGCTTGGAGTAGGAACACATGAGAAAATTAGCCTTTCGTTAAAGGGGCAGTGGCCACTCCTAACTCCAGCATGTGATTCTACCCAAATCGATCTTGGGTACTTTATCTAGTTGTTTATATACTTTAGTTGGTTGGAGATTTCTAAGTACTTTATATGATGGTATCTTCGCACTTATCCAAATATTTGGAAGACCATCCAACTGTCTGCACCGTTCAACCAAAAACAAGGCTACCAGTGTTCAAAGTTTCTTGGTCATTTTCACCTTTTCCAGCCGGTTCTTCTCTGAAAAGTTCCATTGGAGTGTCTGCACATAGGCCTTGGTGTGCCAATATGGATTCATTAACATAATCCGTAAACTTCACATTGAACTCGGTTGTGGCAAATATCAAGGTCTTTCGGCTGGATGCAATGTGTACAAGGCACATTCCAATCAGAGCAACTTAAATTATTGCACTTCTGATTTTTTAAAATATTTTTCAACTGAAAAAAAAGGCACTCGAAGGAACCAGTAGAACCATTTGCTTGGCTGCGCTGTTAGAAAGTTCTGGACTTTGGAGGCAAAATAAGTCCAATGAACCAATTCATTGATGATCAGGTGTGGCTTGATTGGTCTTCCCGATTTCAACGTTTGATCATGAGACTATGTTTCAATAAGACTGGCATTGGCACTGGTGGATCTTTGAAATTAGTGGTGCATGATAGCTACATTCCCTTTGGTGGGCCCAGAAGAAAATGCTTTTCAGTTAGAAGTGGACTATGTTCAGCTGATCTAAGGGCTATTAACCATGTAGTTCCATCGGGGGACACGGGTAATATTGTCTCAAAAACTCAAAACTATACTAAAATGATCTTGATGATAGCACTCTGACTTGGATGAACTGAAGTAGAAGCGTACAGTGAAGCAATGCCACTGCACTGAGAAAGTTTCCATTACCAGTAATCTCCACATGAACAACCACCTTTGTTGAAGTGATGGAATCTATAATTGTCACTTAATAGTATAACTCTGTAACCAAAGATGCAAACTTCATAAACATATGACAATCAGTGCAAACGCTGAGGTTCTTGAAAACCCTAACTGGCTTTCCTGCTGGCAAGCTTATAAGGCCAAATCAAACTGCAAGTTTTTTCACTGTGATATAAACTAGAATCTTCCTTCACCTGCTGTAGATCTGCATTAGCAGAATATGCAGTGCCTTTTATTAGCACCACTACTTGCTTCAACTTATCGTATATTTTTTGTGTATCTTGTTGTTCACTTCTATCCAACTGCATCCTGGTTCTTTTGTAACCTTCTTCAGTTTCATCAGCTTTCTCTGGTTTTTTTGCATTTTCCAGTAGTCCTGCTTCAGTATACATGTTTGAGAGGGTGACATATACAATTGCATCATTCGGGTCCATAGCTAGTATGCGCTTTGCAACAGATCCTGCAACTTTGAGATTGTCATGGCACCGACAAGCAGCAAGTAGAGGCCTCCATATAGAACCTGTAGGCTTGATGGGCATGTTGCTTGTAAAATCTAGTGCCTTTTATATTTCTCCAGATCTTCCTAGTAAGTCCACCATGCAACTATAACGTGCTTGTTCTGGTAAGTTACCAAACTCTCTTACCATTGATTGAAACATTTCATGGCCATCTTGGATTTTGCCAGAGTGGCTACATGCAGAAAGAACAGCTAGGAAAGCAGAACCTGTTGGTCTAAATCCTTTCATAATCATCCTCCTAAATAGTGATATTGCTTTTCTTGGATTGCCATTCTGCGAGTAAGCTTTGATCATTGAGTTCCAAGATACAACATCTGGTGCTGAAATATGACTGAATACCTTCTCTGCACTACAATTCCACATCCGGTATAAGCTTCTATCAATGAGCTTCCAACATGTGTGTTTGTTTTCTGATTCTGAACTAACCCTTTGATTAGTGAATTCCTTGTTATTTTAGAGGCCACATTTCCCATCTCTTTGAACTGCTTTTTGGCATCATCTGTTAATCCAAGCTCAGAGTACATGTCTACGATTGCAGTCCCTACAAATTCACCCAAAGCCATTCCCTTTCTAATCACTAAAGCATGAAGCAAACGGCCGTTATCAACACTCTTCATACTTCCACAAGATGCAAGAGCAATTGTAAATGTGTATTCATGTGGATCAATCCCACTCTCCCTCATCAAGCAAAACTTCCTCATAGCTTTCTCAAAATCCTCATTTTGGTACAATCAATT